GTGTCTTTGGGGTCTCTGTGTTAAGAGAAGTATCACTTCCACATATTTAAGGCTGTGCAAAATTTCCAAAATGACGCCACAGTCACAAGACCTGAAGTGAAACTTATGAACAAGCAAAAAGTACAGCTATGAATATGAAGCTCCACCCGTTATACCTGGTACAGTTCTCAACTGGGAAGAGGACCCTGTTCAAACAACACACACAATACCCTCAGTGTATAACCTAAATTTAATATGATATATATATAATATTTTAAACCAGAATTTATAACTCACCAGGCTTCTCATACTAATTTATGCGATTTAAAGCAATTTAAGTAAGCCATCTACTCCGTTTATACTTGGACTTTTACCCAAAAGTGACTTTGACTGGCTCTTTTTTCCGCGTCGTTTTGTTGCGAGTTTCATAAATACAAATACAAAAACGAAGAATTCCGGTTTTATATTACTTTTAAGTTGTTTTACTAAACAAATGCTACAGCGTAGTTGTACAACACAGCCTTCAATTCTATGGTGTAATTACATAAGAATATACTAAAAATACACTGAGTGTGTTTGGATATTTTCTTTTTCGACAATTAATAAACATTATAGACACACTTTACTTCACTGTGATGACATTATAACAAGGTTACAATGTATTACTATCGTTGAACACACCTGCAGCCTGAACAAAGAAAAGTCTTTTACTTTGACTACAAAAACGAAAGTAAAAGCAAACTGAAACATAAAGCGTTTTATGTCCCCCTTTTTGTTTTACCAGCCATTAATATCTCTACTAAAGCTATTAAAGTCTTGCTGGAAAGTGTTTCACTTGCCTTGATTAGTCGGACTCATCTTTGCTGCGCGGAAACCCAGTCTGACTGCGTTTCCTTGTTGCTATTATTTAAGAGCAAAGTGTCACATGTTCGCTCGCAGTTCTTCCTCTTTCGAAAGTAAAAGCTACACCGTTTGCCTCACAGTGCAGGAGAGGAATAGTTGAACGCATAAGACATAAAACAGAAGGTAAACAAAAAATACTTATTCAGAGGTTTTCTCAAAAATTGAACCACACAATTGCACACTTTCGGAAAGTATGACAAGTACACACACTCAGCATTTTATTGCACATTAAAAGTGTCTTACTTCCCACATTTAGCCTTTTCATTACACCCTAGGAGCAATCAAGTTTTTTAGTTTTAGTTTTTTCAAGTTTTTTTTCCCCAGATTGGGGTTTCCTCGTTATTATTTTATGTTTTAGTTTAGCTTCTTATTAGATTGAGAGTTGTGTTTCTGTTTTATATTAGTATGGCAGAGGCAAGATTAAAGTTCAGAATAAACACAACAGAAGTACATCGCTTTGTCAAAGACGGTATCTCACAGTTCTAGTTCTATTGCCTCAGAATGGCATAAAATCATAATTTTAGCTGTAGCTACCCATATTAACCTTGCTATGAGACTATCATGTGTGCAAATGACAGTTTTCTCTGAGGGTTAGAAATATGGAAATGGAAAACTTGGAGAATGGAAAATGATATTATGGCAATCCACTTATTAGAATTTTATATTTAATTCACTGAAACTAATCAGAAAGGTCAGAAAGGTCATTAAAAATCTAGGAAATTCATCCTGCAGTTACAGGAATAAGTGGTTCTGGACAGAACTGAAGGTCAAAATAAATATTTGACCTGTCAGCTGTAAATGAAAGATCATGAGGTCAGTATGTTTTCAGGCAGTCTGCTGTTGGATGAACACAGAAAACTGAAAGAGGAACAAACCAAATCATGCATTTCAGTCACTAACATATAAGTTCAAGCGATGGTTTCATGGCACTACATGCTTTTATAGAGTAATTCAGCACCATATAAATAATAATCATTAATGCAAACTCCTTGTGGTGCCAACTATGGCCGAAAAAATACAAACGTCACTCGTTTTCCTACATGAACATAGTCATGGGGGTTAGTGTTGGAGTGATGGTGTTCCTTACTTCAAAAAATAT